TATATATATATATATATATATATATGAAGAGTTAATTTGCAAAAACGGATAACTTTTTTTCTTTTCAAAAATCATGTTTTTAATTGTTATCATGTTTTTATTGTTAGTTTGCTGTATTTTTTTTGTAATTTTTTTAACTAAATCAAAAACCCAACTGCAGTTTGATTGAGATTAATTAGAATGGACAATGAAAAAAAACAGAGTTTTTGCAAATTAATATATATATATATATATATATATATTCTTTTTCTTCTTTATTTGCAGAGCTGTGTCTGGAGAAGCTAACAGTCAGATCCACCGGCCCGATGACAGTGGCGTGTTTTCTGCCGGTCCTGACATCGGCTCCAAAACTCAACAGCCTTCATTTCACAGGAATACATCTGTCACAGCAGTTTTTTCACACATTAACAGGTAATCTGACAAATAATCAGTTCTTGGTTTAGCCAGACATTAACAAGACCTCAACATCCTTTTGTCACCCTTATGAAAAAAGTGCACTTCAGCATAAGAGTAATGAATACTTATTACACATTATACTTTAAAACGGCACACTCGTGTGAAAGTAATGTTTTCAGATACCTAATTGCATGTTCATCTTTTGACCCACTTAAGTACGTCTTTGTATGTAACTTCGTAATTACTTCGGTTGACTGAAATGTGCTTAAAGTGTGCGCTGAATGTACTGACATTAATGGTAAACTCAAATATACTTTAATGTAATTTCCTTTGAAAATTGAATTTAAATGTATTTTATTTATGCGAAGTTGCATTTTAGAACCTTTTAAAATACATTAACATTAAATGTAATATTAAACAACACTACAGTTTTAAAAAACATATAATCAAGTACTTTACATCAAAATAAGTACCTCTTTAAAGCATTACAAAAGATTAATAAAACATAGTGATTTCAAATTGAAAGTACGTTTTAAAATTGTATTTTATTTCTGAGTTTACTTTTTAAAGGTGTACTTAATTATATAAAGAATAATGATTGTATTAAGAATAATATTAAGAAACTCTTGAAAGTATGCTCTTTTTTTTATTTATTAACATTATATATTTTTTTAAATAGTCTTTATGTATTGATGTACAATACACGTTCAAATTAAGTGCACTTCTTTTTCACTTCATCTTTTCGTCTAGTGTTTGAATGTGATGAATTATTTCAGTTTTTATTACAAAAAATATTTTCCAGACTAAATGGCTATTAAGATACAAAGTACAGTTTTTATTTTTCCCCCATAGGATCTAATCCATCTCTCAAGGTTTTAAAGCTGGAAGACATAAACTTGTCTGACTGTCACCAGGAGATTCTTCAGTTTCTGGAACGTTCTGTGTTAGAAGGTGCAACCTAATACTGCAGTACACGAGAGTATAAAAACAGCTAGACTGATTCTTGATACGAGTGGCTAATGTTTGTGCTGTTGTCTGAGTCTCAGAGCTGTCCTTCAGAGACTGCAGGCTGCTGGATAAGTGTGCCGTAAAGAAGCACTTCCTGCTGCCATTTGTAGAAGCACTGAAAGGGATTTCCTCCCTCCGGACCCTGATGCTGGCCCAGAATCGCCTGGGTAAGACTGAACTTCCTCTGTAGAATAACTGCACTACCACTAATTTGGGGGTCTTTCTCTGAAAGAAATCATTACTTTTATTTGGCATGGATTCATTAAATTGATCAAAATCGTGAGTAGTGATCTTTGTATATTTCACATAACTGCTGTTCTTTTGAACTTTTTGTATTTATAAAAGAATCCTGAAGAAAACTGTATCATTGTTTCCACAAAAATAGTAACCGTTTTCAACATTAATAAAAACTATTATTATTCAGAATAAATGCATTAAATTGATCATATATTTAATTTAATTTTGTGTGAGTAGTGATCTTTGTATATTTCACATAACTGCTGTTCTTTTGAACGTTTTGTATTTATAAAAGAATCCTGAAGAAAACTGTATCATTGTTTCCACAAAAATAGTAACCATTTCAACATTAATAAAAACTATTATTATTCAGAATAAATGCATTAAATTGATCATATATTTAATTTAATTTTGTATTATTATTATTATTTATGTTTACTTTTATCCACCAAGGATGAATTCAATTGATCATAATATCCATATATTTAATTTTGTATTATTATTATCGTTTTATTTTTACTTTTATTCAACAAGGATGCATTATATTGGTCAAAAGTGACAGTAAAGACATTTATAATGTTGCAAACGATGTTTTCAAATAAATGCTTGAAGAGAATTCTTTATCGTGCTTTCCAAAAAAATTAAGCACAATTGACTTAAATCATTAAAACACAGCTGTTTTCAACATTTATAATAATCAGAAATGTTTCTCGAGCAGCAAATCTGCATATTATACTGATTTCTGAAGGATCATGTGACACTGAAGACTGGAGTAATGATGCTAAAAATACAGCTGCACATCACAGGAATAAATTACATTTTAAAATATATTACAACAGAAAATGAAATTTTTATATTGTATTTTCGATCAAATAAATGCAACCTTGGTGCGCAGAAGAGACATCTTTCAAAACAAAACAAAATTCTGACTTTATAATAGTGGTGTATTTGTTACGATGGGTTTAAATTATCATGCATGACAGAATTTATATTTGGATGAACTATTACCATATGATTTACTTCAGCTGAATGTTTTGATGCTATTGCTGCTCTTTTTCCATATAGCTTTGTGTGAGCAGCAGACTGAATAAGTCCATTCAATTGTTGAAGAAAAGTTACAAAAACATCTCATTGTGTTTCATAAAAGAAAAAAAAATCGTATGGGTTTTGAATGACTCAACGGGGAATAAATATGACCAATCAGTTTTTCTTCCTCCAGCAACGAGTGCCATAGAGATGGCTGAATTATTCTCAGGATGCCGCCCAAGCAAAATCACAAAACTAGACCTTAGGTAATGCTGGTTGATACATGCATCATTCATACACATTTACACAAATATGTTGTTACATAAATGTCATCTCTCCTTTCGAACAGCTCAAATTTCATTCTTCCTGCTGAACTGCTGGAGTTCGCGCAGCTGCTGGAAACATACAGGCCTGTTCAGCGGCTGACGCTTGACCTGCGCTTTAATCCACTGGATCGTGACCCTGAGGTCAAAGGTCAAGCTCTGCGAAAGCTCATCCCATACTGTAATATATTAACAGATGACTGGGACTCCAGGTCGACGATGGCAGATCACATCAGTGTGATGTGACAAAAGCGTTTAGCTGCCCTTCTAAAAGACACCTGCAAACGTGATTGTAGGTAACCAGCACAAACACTTTGGGTATAATTATACTTTTAATAACATAGATGGAGATAATTATTGAACTTGATTACAAAATAAATACAATGAAAGCAACTGAAAAAAGTCAGTGTACTAGTGATTGAACAGTAGAAAAGTTTCAGGAAGATCAGCTCTGATATCAGTTCCACAGTGTTCGGCACAGATGATCTGGAGGTTTGACTCATGATGCTCAGACGACACCTCTCTGGTCCTCATGCGAGCGCTGGTGGAAGACGAACGAGACGGCAGCGTCCCAGGATGCCTGCAGCACCGGGTCCCTCAGGCCTCTTTTATCCGAACAGTGATGCCAGTTGGACAGATCGCTAGTGCAGTCCGAATCTTCTGGAGGAGCACGAACCTGTCGACTGTTCACACAGCGCCTGCAGCGAAACCTGATGGCACAAAAACGGATTTGAATGATCCCGCCTCCTTAGATAACACCACCGTGCATCCTAAAAATTCAGAAAAGTCTTAATATCTAACCGATGATGCAGAGTTCAAAATATCTCAAACTGGATGGACTTGAAGTAGTCAAATGTCTAATTTCAATGAATAGTAGCAGTCAAAATTGAATATTCAAAATGTTAACACTCCATTAAAATGTCAAATAACTTCACAAGGGGGGGGACACCAAGCATTTCGTGTCTCCTTATAATAAATGAATCATGTCTTTAGGCAGTTTTTCTGGTGTTTAAAGGATAATACAAGATTATGCCACCTTACAAATGACTGTCAAAAGCAAAAATGCTACAAAATACATCCTATTTTGAGAGAAAGTGTTCCATACTAGAGCAAAACGGTTTCATTCTGCAAATATGATGCAGGGTGTCATTCCTGAATTTATGCATTTTCCTTATCCGTAAATGAATCTTATAACACTACTTTAACAGTGTTGTGTTTTTACCTGTCATGTGTGTCGCTGACTGTGTCCTCGTTGAGTGAAAAGAGTTCTCGTAGCTCTCCGAGTATTAAAATGTCAAATAACTTCACAAGGGGGGGGACACCAAGCATTTCGTGTCTCCTTATAATAAATGAATCATGTCTTTAGGCAGTTTTTCTGGTGTTTAAAGGATAATACAAGATTATGCCACCTTACAAATAACTGTCAAAAGCAAAAATGCTACAAAATACATCCTATTTTGAGAGAAAGTGTTCCATACTAGAGCAAAACGGTTTCATTCTGCAAATATGATGCAGGGTGTCATTCCTGAATTTATGCATTTTCCTTATCCGTAAATGAATCTTATAACACTACTTTAACAGTGTTGTGTTTTTACCGGTCATGTGTGTCGCTGACTGTGTCCTCGTTGAGTGAAAAGAGTTCTCGTAGCTCTCCGAGAGAGAAATGTCTTTCCACGTCCTGTTCCTCGTCCACGACGCAGCTACTCAAGGCTTTCTTATGAGCCTGTCTCTGTAAGATCTTCTCCTCTATCGTTCCCGTCTGACAGAGGAAAAAGAAACAAGCTGGCTAGTCATCCACTCTAAGCATTTTGTACAAGAGGCATATTGTTTGAGACACTTCCTGTATAATCTTGGAAACATCTCTCACCGATAGCAGTCTGTAGATGTAGCAGGTCTTCTTCTGTCCATCTCGCCACACCCTGGCCATCGCCTGCTCGTCATTGGCTGGATTCCAGTCAGGGTCGAACATCACCAAGCGATTTGCACCAATCAGATTAAGGCCACAGCCTCCAGCCTTACTGCTCAGCATGAAGATGAACTCTGGATTCTGGAAGAGAAGAATTCAAGTGTGCAAGACTTTTAACTAAAATTAAAGCTCTTAAAAATAAAATATTAGATGTGAACTAGAAATAAAAATAAAAACCGAACAAAAAATTAAACTACAACTGAAGCTGAAATCAATTTATTTATTCACTTTTTAACACCATGAAGCTGAAATAAAATAAATGAAACCTAAATAGTGATACTGGAAAAAACAAAACAAAAGAGCATATAAAATTACTAAAGATTAAAATGAAAGCCAAAAATACAAAAAAAATGAAATTAATAAGAAGCATGTTAGAAAATAATACATAAAATAATAAATAATAGACTTAATATGACAGGTTAAACACAATGTGTTTGAATGGAAACAGACTTACAGAAGGGTTGTTGAATCTCTCCACAATCTTTGCTCTCTTCTTGATGGACATTGTCCCATCCAGCCTAACATAAAGGTATCTATTTGAGAAGAAATATATATTTTTAGACCAATTTCAACTTGGCAATATTTTGGTTCATGGCTAATCATGTAAAATAATTTTTTAAACCTCTATAAAGAATGAAACTGGGGAAACGTGGGCCCTCTCTGATGTTGGATTTATGTTATATGAACCTCTCACCTTCGGGTTCGACACAGTTTTTCAAAAAGATCCAAAGTCTGTGTGTAGTTAGAAACCAGAACCACTTTGTCACTTGTTGTTGTTCTGGTCATCGCCAGGATATAGTCCAGTACTAGCATCTTCCCTGAAAACAATTCATATAGATTAGTCAGAAATCAATGAATCTGGGCTTCAATGCAACAGTTATGGCTCTGGTAAAATTAGGGTTTAGTGCCTCTGCAGCCACTATCATGACCCATCGCTGGCAGATAAGTTCATGCATTTTTTTTTTGCATGTGAGTGATGCTCTTTGCACAAAAAACAATAAAGAATCAGAAGCACTTGGAGGGTCCCATGGTGCAACTCTGTCTATTGGGTTAATGGTCTTTGTGGTGCAGCTCTATCTCTGAGCCCACAGTGCACATGTTTGGGGTTGATAAGATGTTTAATGCTTCCTAAATATTTTAATGACTGACTTCTGCTCACCAAAACTGCTTTTATTTAATCAAAAATACAGTAAGACAGTAATATTGTTAAATATTTTTACAGATTAAAATAACTTTTTATTTTAATCTATTGTAAAGTGTAATTTATTCCTGTGATCAAAGCTGAATTTTCAGCATCATTACTCCAGTCTTCAGTGTCACATGATCTTCAGAAATCATTCTAATACGCTGATTTGCTGCTCAAGAAATGTTTCTTTTTGAACAATTGTGCTGCTTCATATTTTGTGAACATTTGATGGTTCATCTTTGATGAACAGAAAGTTCAAAAGAACAGAACTGATCTGATTTAGAAATCTTTTGTGATACAAATTTGGTCACTTTTGAGGAATTTCATGCATCTTAGCTGAACGAAGGGTACAAGCGTGAGTCAGAACTGACCGGAGAGCTGAGGCTCCACTGCTTTAGTGGAATACTTTTGGGGGAAGAGATCCATTGCTCCATCAAAGCCCTCTTCTCCTGCCAGACACTTCTCATAAATCAAGGCAGGATCTAACAGAGAGACCAAACACATTTGTATTTAAAGCATGGTTTTCATGTCAGAAAGGATAAAGAGGGCTGATTATGTTGATGAACACTGACGGTTGCAGAGCTTCTTAAGCGAGGTGATGGACGACAGAGAAGACACGCTGATCTTGCCGCTCTGCACACTCTCCACAGGTTTGGCCTGTTTCAGGAATAACTTATACAGCTCTTTCTGGAAGGGAGTCAGTCTGACAAAGACACAAATAGAATCCATTAATACTTCTTTCAAGGAAAAATGTTCACAGTCACACTAAAATAAAGCCACATGCTCGTTTCCAACTAATTAGCTCAAGCGCTAATGATGGCAAACATCCATAAGGTTGCTGGTTACTGAAATAACAATATCAAACATTTAATAATGTTATCTTGAGCCTTGCTATTACAAAAAGAAGAGAATGCCAATTGATCTCTTACTTGCAGCAGACAACCTGTTCAATCTTCACAGGCAGATACTTGGAAAGAATATCTGAGGTTCTTCGAATCAAACACCTTAACAAAACAAACAATGTTTAATCCAAATGATTTGAATGGTGAGACTGGGAGGAGTCTTTTATAGACTCAAGCTCACCTGTTAACAATGCAGATGAGCTCCTTGAGTTTCTCCTCTCCGGCTGCCCTGTTTTTATCACTGGCGTCAGCGTCACGACCCTTCAGGATCGGGATCTCGAAGCGTTTCTTAAACTCCTGAGCTGTGCCTGAGAGAAGAGGCAGACGCATGAACGCAAATGAATGTTTTTTAATAAAGCTTCAGTAAGGTTCTCCCACAGGGTCATGCAAAACTGGAATGATGAAAGGTCTCTTACCAAGAATACCAGCATTTACAAAGTGCACCAAACTGAAATATTCCAGTAAGTCGTTCTGAATGGGAGTCCCCGATATCAGCACTCTCCTCTGGGCGTTCATAGCGTTCAGCGCCTGGTACGTCTGGTTGTCCGAGTTCTTCAGCCTGTGGCCCTAAACCAATAACACATGACATACAGAATGAACGCTGTATTTATTGATCAAAAACATAGTAAAAACTGTAATATTGTGAAACATTATAACAATTTAAGATCTGTCGTCTATTGTAATATATTTTAAAATAGAATTTATTCCTGTGATGTTTTTTTACTCCAGTCTTCAGTGTCACATGATCCTTCAGATTGTGATACTTATTTTTTTCTTCAGGATTCTTTGATGAATAAAAAGTTCAAAAGAACAGCATTTTTTTGAAACTGAAATCTTTTGTAACATTATAATGTTTTTACTGTCACTTTTAATCAGCAATGCATGCTTGCGGACTAAAATTATAAAATAAAATAAAAAATGTAAATCAAAACTCCCTAATATTTCCTGGCTTATAAACATTATTATATACTTATTTTAATACACTTACCTCATCACAAATAACCAGCCCAACTTTGCCTTTGTGCAGGACTTCAGTGTGGAGGCGAAAGGTTTCATAGGATATTATCAGAATTGGAGTTGGCACTCGCATGCCATACTGGGACATGAAGCTTTCTGCAAAAACACATGCAATGACATCAACATGTAGAAGATGAAGATGGATAACAGAGTCATTTAAAACAAATTATGAAGTCTGATGTACAGTGAGCACCCAGTGTGGGGTTTTCTACGGCCAAATTACTGCAATTAAACATTCATTTCACACATTATTTACAAAAAACATCAATACTGCCATTAATTGGCTAAGCATACTGTTTCCCAGTTGAAAAAAAAAAACATGATAAATTTGGAAAAAAGGTGTCTATTGTTTTAAGTGGAAATTTAACAGTTTAGTGAGGTTTATGCTTAAAATGATAAAACAATGGGGTAAGAGAAACTAAACGACTTTAAAATATATTTGGATAAGCTTTGCATCTCAAGTGAATTGATCTTGTTTTTAACTCCTGTAATAATAAAAAGAACGAATCAAATACCAAGTTTGCGATCGATCTCGTCTTTGGAGCCGCCGTCGATAGCGAGAGGCTGTATGCGTCCACCGAGCCATTTGCCCACTTCATTGTACCAGTTTCTCACGAGGCTGGAGGGCGACACCACGATGGCCTTGTCGATCTCAGGTTTGAAATCAGGGCTCTGTCTCAGTAAAGTCCACATGAGAGTGATGCACTGCAGCGTCTTCCCCAGCCCCATCTCATCCGCCATTATACAGCCGTACGAGTTTTCAATCCGCCTTCCTGTCACACAGTCCCACAGGAACTTCACACCCTACAGAAGAACATTGTAAGGATGATTTGAAAGGCCTTTTCTATATAGAAGCTTATTACCATTCCAGATGTTTACTAAAAATTCAATTATTTCCATCACAAATGTTAAAGGGATAGTTCACCCAAAAATGTAAATTCTGTCATCATTTACTCACCCTCAAGTAGTTCCAAACCCATATAAATTTGAATTGTTTAGCTGGTAATAAATTAAGAGACAAAACTGTTTAACAGAGACAGTAAACTAATGAAGATGATCAGGTGCTCACGTTCTTAGTGCTGTAAAAACTAAAATCCCATTACTGACACATCGACCAATGCAGATCATTAAAAAAAAAGTCAAATATCAGCTTTGGCAATATATCGGTCAACCATTAATGAAAGTGAGTTGTGAGTACAGACTGACCTGTATAATTTGGGATGGGAACTTTAAATGGCTTTGACAAGATCTTGCGAATGAATGCTTCCTGTGAAAAGTTAAAGTGATTAGTTTTATAATCTAAACAATTATACGATAATGAATAATTATAGTAATGCCCCTTCATATTTCAATGCTACCTCCCAGAATTTATCAATAGCCTTGTACATGAATACTGCACCATTTAGAAGGTAAAATTATCCTTTAGGATACTGAAATTTCCTGTCAAAACTATATCATAATGCACCAATACAAAAATTGCCCAAGCTGTCTGTTATCCAGGATGACTGAAATCCCAATGTGAAGGCAAAAGTCTTTCTAGGTTTAAACGTGAATTGCTTTAGAAATCGGCAATATTTACATTTATGTATGGCTGTCCTCACACACATACGCCCAAAAGCAGGATTTATCATGTCTTGTGTTTCTGTTTTTAGTTCTATTATCTGTTAGATTTCCAGTGTGTTCCCATACTAGTGTTCAGTGTGTTCCCATACTAGCGTTCTGTGTTCCCATACTAGTGTTCAGTGTGCCCCCATACTAGTGTTCGGCCGCGTGCCCCCATACTAGTGTTCGGCCGCGTGCCCCCATACTAGTGTGCTGCGTGCTCCCATACTAGTGTTCGGCGTGCCCCCATACTAGTGTTCGGCCGCGTGCCCCCATACTAGTGTTCAGCGTGTTCCCATACTAGTGTTCTGCGTGCTCCCATACTAGTGTGCGGCGTGCTCCCATACTAGTGTTCGGCGTGCCCCCATACTAGTGTTCGGCGTGCCCCCCACATGCACGGGTAACGTCTCCCTGCAAAGGAACCAATCAGAGAGTGATCATGTCATTGTTGTGCAGCTGCAATGTAAGACACCTCTGAAAATCATCAGACGCCACTGACTTGTCAGCTTTGATGAGCTCATGAGCGCTGATGGCAGGCGGCTCGTACAGAACCAGAGCTCCATCTTCAAACGGGTCGTGCAGGGCCTTCCTCACCCCGGCCCGCCTCAGTCCCAGAGCCCGCAGACCCAACGAGCCTGATCAGAGCAACACAAGCACATCTGAACCTCTACAATACATTTACCACGCTAATGATCTAAAAACATAAATATATTTAAAAAACGCTCATTTCTTAGAGAGAGGGGCGAATAATCGTTTATATAAAAATCACACCATTAATTAAAAGATAGTAAAAATACATTGATGACAATTGCTGAAGTAGCGTAATATAATTAGGGCTGCAAAACGATTAATCGTAATTAATCGCATTCAAAAATAAAAGTTTATGTTTACCTGCTATATGTGTGTGTGTGTACTGTGTATATTTATTATGTATATATAAATACATTACAGACATATATGTATATATTTAAAAATATATATATTTGTATGTATATGTAGTTATACTTGCATATAATTTATATTATATAAATATAGTTTATATATAAATCTAACATATTTTACTTACATGTGTGTGTATTTATATATACATCATAAATATACACAGTACACACATAGTATGTAAACATAAACTATTATTTTGAATGCGATTAATCGTTTTGCAGCCCTAAATATAATATGTACTAAATCAGAAAAAACTTGAAAATGAATAGATATGGGGGGGGGAAAACACACTAAATATAAAATTGAATTGTTTAGCTGGTAATAAATTAAGAGACAAAACTGTTTAACAGAGACAGTAAACTAATGAAGATGATCAGGTGCTCACGTTCTTAGTGCTGTAAAAACTAAAATCCCATTACTGACACATCGACCAATGCAGATCATTAAAAAAAAAGTCAAATATCAGCTTTGGCAATATATCGGTCATGTGTGCCCCCTTACTAGTGTGCTGTGTGCTCCCATACTAGTGTTCAGTGTGTCCCCATACTAGTGTTCAGTGTGTTTTCATTTGAAATATAACTCACATGCTCCTGGCCATCTGTGCACAGGGGTCTGTTGGTGAGCGCTGTCAGGGGTTTTCTGAAGGGAGAGATGTAGGTTTCTCGACAGCCTCTCTTACTTTGTGATGCCTGTAAAGTAGAACCAGTGTAAACAGTCCATCATGTCCTCACTGATGCTGAGAATTCAGTCTAGACAAGAGCTCAGGGACCGACTCACGATGTCAGGCTCCCAGTCCTCATCGTCTGAATCCGGCCCTTGTTTCCTTTTGGCCACCTGACTGGGTGCTAGACTTCTCCTCTGCAGGTATTCATAATTGCAGAAGGTTTTAATGAACTTACTGAACACGAATCAACCACAATCAGAACATAATGCGTCTACGTTACATGAAGATTACAGGTATCTAAGCATAACGTTACATGAATCAACATTTATAACGCATTGAGAGATTAATATAGCAACCTACCATTCTGAATCAGGAGTTCAATCCAAATTAAACGAATACATTTAAATAGATGTGCCTTTTTCTGTCTTTTTTACAAAAGCCTTCTCTTCTTTTTCTCCTTACTTTGGCAACAGAAGCGCCCTGCTTCTGCATTAAATAAATAACTCCCACAGCAAAAACTTATTTAACAACATATCAAGTAACCAAAATGTTAGCGTTTGCTTTCGTTATCAAACACCGGCGTATTTGAGTCCCGCGCATAGTTCACACACAACACTACGGCGAACGGGAAGGGACAAACTCTGACATGCGTTTCGAAAAATAAATACCGCTGCGACAGAACATCATAACTAATTCCGCGTTTTATAATAATATTATAAATATTTAATTTGATTACATAATATTATTTGTCATTACTTGTCAGTGTAAGAGTGAACGTCAACAGCATCAAAATGGAAATCTATATTTTTTTCTTTACTTGATATTAAGGTTTGTTTGTTTGTTTGTTAATAACAGTAAAAGATCGTTTTAAAACATAGGATTTTCCTTAAGGTTTCTGTGCTGCTGTGTGTTATAATTTTTAGATTCTACTTCGGAATTCTAAGGTTTATCTGAATGTTTTGAGCGTGTTTTATATAAACGTCCGCTAGATGGCGCGGTTGGGTTATATTTATATTGACTGTCTGTGTCTGCAGCATCAGCAGCAGAGGTCGGTGTTCACACTTGTGCATTCTGTTTCTCAGGGGTCAGATATCATGAATTCATCATCTCTTGTGTGAAGAACAACAGAAAAGACAAGTAAAGTTATAGTAGTTCAATAGAAAGATGTGAGCATTAGTAAGCCCCGTCTCCACAGCACTGTGCATAAATTGCCTTCATTTCATGGCCATCCTAAATTCTGTGTGATACTAGAACAAATATGTTATTGCAATAGTATATTAACTTGTTTACTGTTTAGCACACATAAAGGCCTCAGCAGAAAGTTTCCATATGAATGCTCTCACAGCATAACATGTTGATACTAAACACAGACAAGCGTCTGATTACCGTCTTCCCATGTGCTGTTAGTGTTTGGGTCTTTTAGAACAAAAGGTGAGTGAAAGCGTCCCTGCGTCCCAATGTGCAGACAGTCCACCCTATCTGCCCTAAATAGTATTGAAAAGTACTAATATCACTTATATTCATTCGAAAATGCATTAGCCTATTGATTTGTTTATAGTGGTTTTCACGGAGAGAGAAACTGACTTGTCTGGTATGTAAATGTTGGTGCAAACTAGGCAAAACAGAAAATGAAACACGTGGTATGACACACAAAGATAAAATGTATTTCTCTTTAAATGCATCATCTGTATAAAAATCTGAGCAATAAATTCCAGGTATATACATTTTTTAAATAATACAAAATATAATTATGATAACATGCATACCAAAAAAAGAAAAAAAAATGCAATAAATACATCAAACAATAGCAGTAATTTCCCTTGAATAAAGCAGGGGATGCATAGCATCCAAAGGGTAAAATGATGCCATCCTGAAGGAAAGGAATTCACTGCGCCGCTGGGAAACCAAATGAGCAGTTCAAGACTAAACCTGCTTTCCTCAGATCTCAAAAACTGACCAAAACCAACCAGATTATCAGAACAACATTATTGCAATTTATATAAAGCGAGTGATGTGTCATCATGTGATGAACATCTGGTATCTTTCAAATGTTGGATAATATAGTAGATAATCTATTAGATCTATGAGTCAAAAAACAGAAAATGCAACACAAAAACAGGGCCAAAACACTGCAAGTAATCTAACAAAACATTCGGAGGTTAAGCTGATGTCTACTCTATGATGTTTTCTGTTAATCGAATGCTTAATATCAAGACAAAACAGTTGGTAAAATCCCTGTTACATTCAAAGGCAGCAACAAAAATGGAATTTGTGATTTTTAATTCCCTTAATCATAAAATGCTTTTAGTTTGAGGGTGAATCTCATGATAACACATTCTGGTCACCTTTAAAAATAATAATACAAAAATTAAAAATAATGCAATTTGTACTGTAACAGTCATTTTATGTACTACAGTAAAAAAAAACATGTACAACAAATACTACTATAATGTATAAATACAATATAATTTATGCATTATATTTTTACATTAGAGTATCGAGAATTTGAGTTTTGGGAGAAATATATTTAATTGATGAAATGAAATTAAAAATATGAAAATAATGTAAAAAAATTTTTTCTAAAAATCGGCTTCATTTTTTAAAAACAAAGTAAAATTTTCTGTTCATTTCTGTTGAATTTACAGTGGAACACATGATCCAGACATGTTCCTCTGAGAATGAGTTCACAGGTATTTATAGTGTCTTTGAAAACATTACACGTGATATATAAGCAAAAGTTAAAGTAAACCATGAGATTAATACAGCAAGTGTGAGAAATGGAATAGAGGAGCGTGACGGTCGATTATAGAAGTGTAAACCACAGGTTTCATGATCTGTTATTTATATATCTATCTATCGCTTTGGTATGCCATTCAACTTGCATACAATAAGTCAACACCCAAAAACACAGAACAAAAACATGAAATGTGACAATGTCTCAATTAAAATACATTTTGGTAAACCGGTACAAGTGCTGTGTGCTACGAACCTTAGCCAGGACACCATTTCATCTAACTAACAAATCAAATGTCACGTATCCCGACAAAGATCTAGAACAGGGGTGCCCAAACTCGGTCCTGGAGGGCCGGTGTCCTGCAGAGTTTAGCTCCAACTTGCCTCAACACACCTGCCTTCAAGTTTCTAGTATGCCTAGTAAGAGCTTGATTAGCTGCTTCAGGTGTGTTTAATTGGGGTTGGAGCTAAACTCTTCAGGACCGAGTTTGGGCACCCCTGATCTAAAACATGAAAACAGAGATATCCACTCGAGCAGTGAAACAAAAAACAATGTTGATCAAAGAAGTTCGAAATGAAAGAGGTATTTCTTGATAGCAGAGGTTACTGAATGTGGCATCAGGATAACTGGTTAGCTGTTTGTTGTGTTTGTGCAAGTGTGTAACGCCAAGAGCACATTACAAGACGGTCACAAGTCAACCTGAGTCATTTAAACACTCACGGGTCAATTCACTAGAGTTTTGCTTGCAAAAACCTGCATATTATTCATGAACAACCCGCAATGCATTTTCATCTGTGCTGGTACAGCAATGTGCCGTATTATTTTCACTTTTAAAGAAGCCTCTTCTGCACACCAAAGCCACATTTATTTGATCAAAAATACAGTAAAATTACAGTAATATTGTGAAATATTACTACAATTTAAAATCGCTGTTTTCTACGTGAATATATGTTAAAGTGTAATTTATTTCTGTGATCACAGCTGAATTTTCAGCATCATTACTCCAGTCTTCAGTGTCACATGATCTTCAAAAATCATTCTAATATGCTAATAAACTAATTATTATCAATGCTGAAGCTGCAGTTGGCCGCTGAAAGCCATTTGATTGTCTGCCAGCTCGTCTGGGCGTCCATGAAGGAGACGGTCTCGAAGCGCGTGGGTCTGCAGCAGGGGTGAGTGCTCACCTTGCGGCCAGAAACGCTGCCGTTATCCGTCAGCACCTTCAGGGCCAGGTCGTAGTTTTTACGGGCGCTCATGCACGTCCCCACGCAGTACTTAAACAGCACGATCTCGTCCGAGTCGTAGCCGAGGCCCAGATCACGCACCTTCATCTCTTTCCTCTCCAAACGGCAGTCCTGGCTGCTCCGGCCTCGCTTACGGTTGCGCCGCTCCTTTCGGTTCCTAGTGGACTTCCGTGAACTGGAGCTGTTTGTAGAGGAACGCTGCCACCGGATCCGATGACCCTCACCTTCCTCGGCCAGGGACGAATCTGAGGAGACAGAAAACACGAGCTGATGAGAGAAGTGACCACAGAATGTGACCAAACAAAGATTCTGTCATTTCGTTACAAACCCATATGATTTTTTCTTCTTCTGGGTGACCGATAGGTGAAATTCTGAAGAATATCTTAGTAGCTAAAGGTAAATTGGGGCTATTAAGTTTGAAAATGACAAAAATCACTTTAAAAGCATCATAAATTATGCAACATTTAGTTCTGGTCCTTGATCTGATTGGTCAGATCACTGATTGGTTTCACTTTAATTTCTTTTTTAATACCAACTCTATTTTAAAGATTTATTAATTATTAAATGTGGAAAAAAAATCAAGAATTGAATAAAGTCAACTTTTTTTGGTGGTGAGGGTTTAACTAACAATATTGATTATATAATTAGTCTTTTGGTCAAACCATGGGGACTTATAATGACAACTTGATGTCATTACTTTTGTTTATAGATTATAAAAAGTATAGTATATAAAGTATATAAAGCATAAAAAGTTTTACACAAAAGAGGGTCTTTGAGACACTACAAGGTTTGTCTTTACTTATATACTCAATTTCGTTACTATTTGTGACCCTGCACCACAAAACCAGTCCATAAGGGTCCATTTTTTTTTATTAAATTTATACAATTTCCGTTGTTGTATGGTTTGTTAGGATCGGACAATATTTGGCCGAGATACAACTATTTGAAAATCTGGAATCTGAGCGTGCAAAAAAATTGAGAAAATTGCTTTTAAAGTTGTCCAAATGAAGTTTTTAGCAATGCATATTACCAATCAAAAATTAAGTTTTGATATATTTACAGTAGGATCTTTACTAAATATCCCAATGATTTTTGGCATAAAAGAAAAATCAATCATTTTTTTGACCCATACAGTGTATTGTTGGCTATTGCTACAAATATAGCTGTGCTATTTATGACTGGTTTTGTGCTCCAGGGTCACATTTACAGTCTGTCAAACCATTTACTTGTAAAAAGCAATATCACACTCAAGAGGACTGGCACTGTGATTACCTTGTATAATTGCTTTAGTGGGCCATTAAAAACTTTTCTGAAAATATTAAACAATTTATTTGCTAAAAATCTGCCTTTCACTGCAACTCTCAAATCACATATGGCAAATAAATGTGCCATATCATGTTTGATGCAAATATCACTTGGTCACAAGATACAAGAACCAATTATGTTTGATGTAATTTACACAAGGCATAATGCGACACTGTAAAAAAATTATTTTTCAAAATTGTAAATAAAACAAAGATTTTTTGTTTTACAAGAAAATGCTACTTCAGTATTTCTACTTCAAAATTCCATGTTAATTCAATGTGTTACTTGCCGATTCTTTGTAATTATTGAAATCTGAACTTTGGAAATTTGCTAGCAATTTTTAAGTGAAAATAATTTCAAAATGAATTCTATGCTACATATTTTTCATTGTACATGTCTAATGGTAGGATTTGGGCTCTAAGTGGAGGGCAATATTTTCTCTTATGAAATTATTTCAGAACACTTGGAATACAATGCAAAAAAGTCGACTACTTTTATGATAATCTTGACAGCACTTGTCCCACCCACTTTCATTATATGGAAAACAGTGCCAGGATTTTCTTTTCTACACAGAAATGCACCTTTTGTGTTCCACAGATGATCAGTCATTCTGGTTTGGAAAGACACTGGCTAAATATTTCTCCAGAGCATACAGCTTTCTGGCACGTGGCTCTGATTTATTAAAATAGTCTCAATTCCTGCCAGCGCAAGGCACATCCGCCCACTGTAATGTAACATTGGCATTTAAAAAGGTGATAACACCAACGGCCCTGGTTCACACCTCAGCAGCTGATTGTGTGTAACGTGTGCACGTCTCTCCACGGTGTGAAATTCCTCCTGCTGTTTGCTGAGCACCTTACTGCACTGGACTATTATTGTACTGTATCTCATGCAACTGCAGCATGCAGCGCTGAAAACATCCCACAACATGCCACATCATGTTTACAGAGTTTTGTTTAAAGTCACAAGGTGAGGAGAACCTTAGAATATGATTCAAACTTTCTCCAGGCGAAGATTGCAATAATTAGCTTCCAAGAGAGCAATTGGCTGTGTCAAAACCTGCACAGAGGAGCTCTGGATTATTTGAAGCGGGAACATAAAATTGATAAGGAAGAGCGAGCTGAGATTATTCTATCGCATGCATGAGCCAGGGAAAAAAACATGACAAATGTACTGGATGTGGAAAAACTGGTGTACAACATCTGTGAGTCGCAGTAAAGAAACAATCCTCCTCCTTAAAGTGAAGTGTGCCGCTTTTTTATGTTGAAACACTTTCTCATTCCAGTTGGTGCTGTAAGCAGTTCTTTTTACGCTTATACAATCATTAGTTAAATATTTATTTAAATATTGCAAATTCCACGATCATTTTTTAAAGAAAGTTCTATACTACCATAGTTTGCGGTAACTAAATTGTGTTTTTGAAAGAAATGAATAGTCAGCAAGGATGCAATAAATTGATCAAAAGTGACAAGACTTCTATTTCAAATAAATTCTTCATCAAAGAATCCTGAAAAATAAAATGCATCCTGGTTTCCACAAAAATATGAATTGACAATAATCAGAAATGTTTCTTGAGCAGCAAATTGGCATATACTTATACAATCATTAGTTAAATATTTATTTAAATATTGCAAATTCCACGATCATTTTTTAAAGAAAGTTCTATACTACCATAGTTTGCGGTAACTAAATTGTGTTTTTGAAAGAAATGAATAGTCAGCAAGGATAAAAGTTCTGTTTTAGTGGTCTAAGTCTGCAATGACAAGTTTCATTATAAATAAACACTCCTCATCAAATTTCCAAATGATCTGAGCCACTATCCACATTTTATAGTATGTCAACTATTGACTCATTTGTTAATACTTCTATTTCTCCTACGTTATTTTAAGAAAAGCATCCGAGACAAAGTTGATAGTTAATGAAACATACAGTAACTGAGACCTTTATTGAGACCTTCACATCTGAAATGGCTCAGTGAAGATCCATGAGCTTCTGTCTGCTAGAGAATTAGCTATATGACTTGATACACAGCCTCCGGTACACACTTTGTGACAACATATAATTTTGAAATTACTCATGTCTATCACCAAGTGTTGTTGATGGGTTAATTTTACTGTTGGTACAGACGAAAAGTCTCCCATTTTAATTACAGGCTTTGCAATAACGTCAAAGCTGGATGAGGCTTGTAAACTAAACTGAAGTGTATTTGAAATGGGGAAGTCGTCAAAAGAGTTATATCTCAATAACAAAGACTGTGAGTCAAACGTGCAATTACACGTTTGTTTTCTCTAACAGTGTTTTGTATGTTGAATTAAGTACTTTAATTTCAAAATTTTTATTCAGCATTTTTGTGAATTTTGTCCTGCCGTTTTAAAGACAATTAATATATTAATATGATCATTTTAACTGGAGTGACACTATCAGATGAGAACAAAATATGAACTGAATTGAGCTGGATAATGACACTAACATCTTCTGTAAAGTTGCATTGCAGCTGAAATTGATTTATTTTCCTGTTTAACCATCTGTATTGTATAAAGCGCTATATAAAACACTTTTTCTTCACTTCATTTCTCCTCTTCTTAAACTTGCTTCCTAATCTAGTTGTCAAATAAACCCGACATTGTACATTACAAAAATTCTTGGCACTTTGATGAATTGCTTTTGTTCCTCTTTTGCTTTGGATAAAAGCTAAATGCATAAATGTATGTATGTATATATAATGTATATATATATATATGTATGTATGAAGAGTTCATTTGCAAAAAACAATAAATGCCACTTAAAAAAAAAAATGAACTGATTGCCGTGCATTATTCTCCATACATTCACTGAAAAAAGGCAATTTATTAAAAAGTTATTTATTTTTCATTAGCTCAAGTTAAAAAATATAGATGTGAATAATTACCCCAAATTTTTTTAATTGGATGAATGAAATTTTTTTTTCAGTGTAGCGCGATCTGAACTCTAAACACGTTTTGTCAAAAAAGCCGGTTTTGTCCACTTCCAAGGCATCGTGAGTTCACGTTTTACTGCAGAAGCCGACAAGCGCCCTTGTTGTTTTTGAATAGAAGCCGATAAGTTAATTTTAGCAAATCAGCGCGCTGTATTCAGGTCAGGTGACAAGGCTACTTTCACTTTGAAAAAACGTGCTAGCTGAGAGGAGTTTCGTCAAAGCTGACTAAAAGTGATCGAGGATGGATAATTTCGACGAACTTGATGAACCTGTGATATCTTCTTCAGGGCGAAAAAGGAAAATAAAAGCTGAAACGTTTTCACGGAAGCTTGCAAAAGCAGTGCGTTACAATAGCGAGGGAAAAGCTCAGTGTATTGCGTGTAATCACATCCATACAGTTTATGATCACAACAACGTTTGTCAGGCATCTACATTGTCATCTGAGGAGATTACAAAGATTAAACCAGTGTTTTTTTAAACTCTAAAACATGAAATGTGGAGTTATCTGCTTTTGCCAAAAAACGACTGTTGGAGTTATCGGCTTTTGCTACAAAACAAACTTTTAATATGTAAAAAAAATTTTGTTTAAATTATTATTACTTAATCAAAACAACCCAAATGCAGTTTGATTGACATTACTTGGAATGCACAATAAAAAAAAACGTGATTTCTGAAAAAAAATTTAAATGGAGTTATCGGTTTTGCAAATTAACTCTTCATATATATATATATATATATATATATAAAATGTTGTTGTTTTTTTCAGGGCAAAAAAATAAAAAAAATAAAAAATAAATATAATAATTTTTAGCAGCTTTAACCTCTTAGAATTCAACACTCATTGCTCATTCGCTGAAGTAGAAAGTGTGACAACTAGCCCCGGTTTCCCTCACAGTGTCAGGGATATACTGACCATGCAGTCGTGCCCATGGTGCTCTGCTCTGCCACTCATCTAGAGCTTTCTGCGGTCCTGGATGTTCTGCAGAGGTTGAAGAGGCTCTCAGCTTGCTAGGACGGGATTCTTCTTTCTCCTCCTGAAGGAAATGTCCATCAACGAGACCCAGAAGACATACAAACACAAGCAGCATCACCTGCAAGAGAACCAAAAGATGTCATAATCACTGATACAGCGTGTACTGAACTGAAGCGGTTGTTATGATTGCAAAGAAAATCCAACAAAACGCTATTAGGAAATATAATGACATGAATCCTCAGGGTTAATCTAGAGCGCTGTCACGGCCTGCCCATTACTCGTCTGTGTTATATAAACCCTGACAGAGTAAACCGATCCGTGATGTCCGATCGGCCCATTCACATGGATAAGCTTCCCACCCCAAACCTGAACTACAGCAGACCTCCAGTGATCATACACAGCCACCACTTCAGCCCCTTTAATTACTTAAGCAACACCCAACACCGCCGTAGATCCCCATGAGTAAATATTTCAGGATGACTTTAATGAATGAATGTCTGTGGAGTGTCTGGCTGAAAAGATCTGATGAGCCAGAGTGAAAATCAAGCGTGCTGACACACAAACAAGTCCAAACGGACACGCTTCTGACACATTTGGTAATGTAGTACAGGCAAGCCGAGACCAAACAGGTGTTGCGATGTTATGTCAGGCAGCATCAAAGCGTGAGTTTATTTATTAGCCGATAACCCAAATGATATGAGGAATGCTCACCTTCCAGTTCCTCAGGTGACATCGGGCAGGTGCGGCCATGCAGGACTCCAGACTTCTCCACCGTTTGCCATCTAGAAAGGAAAAGATGTATAATTTGATATGCATGCAAATATAATGGCACTAAACAAGTGGCTCTTAAAGAAACAGTCTCCCACAAATGAAAAGTCTCATTTGTGTCAGAAGATCATTAGAGCTGTAAATAGAAAAGAATTTTCCGCAATGCATTTCTTTAAAACCTTTGATGGAAAGATCACTGAAAATCAACTCTCCTACCGAAATAAATGTGATAAGATGTGCTTTTTGCATTTTATGGGGAAAACATAGCAGCATATCTGACAGATGAATAATGGGAGAATTTAAATGTTATTGTGAGCAATGTCTTTAATGTCACAAAATGTAAATAATTTAATATTTTTCTGCTATATTCCCTCTGCTGAAAGCATGACGGGTAAAGAGATGTGCAAATATCAGTCAAATGTCAGATATTATCTGACTGTGGTTTCATGACTCAGCAAGTCCCATCTTTCCTTTATCATGCATTTTGCTAGTAAAGCCAGGAAATTACATAACAAATATTTATTCTTCCAAGACTATATACTCATATTAAACTTATTTTGCCCAACTTTGATATGGTCATTCATCAAATTAAGTGCTTTTACTTTTATAAGCCAGGCAAGTTTTTAAAAATATGATTAATTATGATGATCCCTTTGCAGAAGGATAACCTCCATATAGGCTATTTTAAGACTCATTTATACCTTTAAAAAAAATAAAGTGTACTACAAAGAAAACATGCTTACAAATTCAATAATTGGCATTTATATTGTCATATTACTAAATGAAATTATAAGCTTTTATTTTTTTAATATAATTTTTAAATATTTAAATTTTAAACTTTTTTTCTCTCTCTAAAAATGTTCATCAGATGCTCTAGCACCCCCTTGAAAAATTATTATAATTAGAGATTAAAAATGATTATTAATATGATTTTTGCAATAAATATGGGTCCAAAGCAACTTTTTACTTCATTTTTTTTTTACAGTTTCTTTTCTCTGAAATGTTCCCCAGATTAAATCATTATTATTATAAATTCAAAATAATTTTTTATATGCTTTTCATAATAAATACTGGTCCAAAGCAACTTATTTTTTGCAGTTTCTTATCCCTGAAATTTCCTGCAGACAATTTCAGGCATGTTGGGATTCCCAAAAACGTTTTATCCACTAAGCAACAGGACAATTTTCACCTAGCAATGCCCTAGCAACCACACAGAACACCTTAGCAACCAGTGTTGGGGAAAGTTACTTTTAAAAGTAATGCATTAAAATATTGTTACACTCCCTAAAAAGTAACTAATTGTGCTACTTATTTACTTTTTATGGAAAGTAATACATTACATTACTTTTGCATTACTTTTTCTCATCTGGGCTGAGCTTGCTTCCTTGTTTTCAAAATGAAAAAGTTGTTTTTGGCAAATGTAAAACCCCTTTCACACCAAAAGTTAAATGAATAAGCCTCAGGCTGAAGGAAATGTAAATTCAAAAAGCTCAAACAAACCATCCAGCTGTGCTGCCATTCCTGAATGCATGAAGAATAGGACGCAAGAGAAGAAAGTGTTGTTTATCTTTTGCTTATTAGTATTGTTGAATTGGATCATCTAAGGTCAACAGCAAAGACACTGGGATTAAATACATAAAATATATTTGTGTTATTTAACATATAATTATTGCAGGTTTGTGTAATATGTGTAATATTTGCATTTCACTGTTTTTATTCATTTTGAGGAATACTGAATCTGTTTTTGAGTAAGTATAAAGGCATGTTTAGTCTAGAACTTTAGTACAATCATGTTTTTACAGCGATTTCTTTACAGGAGAACTGTCAGTAAATCATTGGGGGAAAAAGTAACTGGCGGTACTTATTTGAAAAAGTAACTCAGATATTTTCTTGTAAATTAAAAAGTAATGTGTTACTTTTCTAGTTACTTGACAAAAGTAATCTGATTACGTAACTCGACCTACTACCCAGTACACTTAGCAATGCTGTGGAAATCACTCAGAACAGAATGTGGGACACTAAGTCTGTTCTAATAACGCATCCACCTAAATTGACATTATATCATCGTTAATCACATGGCTCTGAGGGTTTCCTTGACCCCATGTATAAACTTGCAGACACTGAAACGTTCTCTCGTGCTGCACGTAAACGGCACACGTTTAGAGGCGGCTGCTATGAAACGATTAAGCAACAGGATGTGATGAAAGTAGCAACACAATTCAGAGCTGACCTAGAGAGATGGTTTCACCTGCAGCCTTAGAGATCAAATTTACAGCACTCTATTGCTATGAACACCCCGCCACTGCCGAAGGCTGCAAGCTGTTGTGTGCACTGACACAATCTGCTCCGTTTGGCAGCTTCACTGAGTCACATAAAGGTTAGCAGAAGATTTAAAACACTCTGTGACTGATAACACTCTTCAATTATAAACTACAAGCATATGCAACAATTAAAAGCTAACGTCACTAAATAAAACTGCAAAAATAATGACAAACAGATAGCCCTGCACCAAACTCACATGACCGGTTGCACCAATGTCTACGTTTTGGATTGGAAAATCAAGACTTGTGAAGCATTGTTAGTGCTGGGCGGTATGACCAAAAATGTATATCACGGTATTTTTCAAAATTATAATTTTTTATATAAACTTTTTTTTTCAAGCATCACCGGGTGTTAACCATATTTTCTACTGATTGAGAGGAAATACTGCAGTATATTGACTTAGAATGCCCTATTTTACTGTCATGATGAGTGAATATTGTCAAAAAATACCACACTAAATAGTGACTAAACACGACCCCTTTTAATACATGTTAACCAGGAGTCACTCTCATTTATAATCGCTGCATCGTCTGATAAAATCAACATGCATCTACACTAAAGAGCGGCTATGCAGTTGTTTTGGCTATATTACTTTTTTGTCTCATGCAGCGCACTGCCTGCATCCGAGTAACAAACTTAAAAAAAAAAAAAACATGCATGTGATATGAACTACGCTCATATTTATAATTCCAAA